AAAAAAAAAATACAGATGTCACACGTCAAGTTATAGGAGCAAATAAAATCAGTAAATGTTAATAGTTAAAAAATACTTTAGGACTTCCAAATGTTTGCAGAAATCACTCTAGGCTGCCTGTTAAGAAGTAAAAAGTGATTTGTTCTAGCAATGAACAGAATAAATATTTAAGTATTTGTAATCAGCTCCAGGTTTTTGGGTTTTCCTTGACACTTATCTTCCAGGCATCCTATAACAATTCTGAAGCAGCATCTTGGAGTTTTCCCCTTTCTGTCTTGCTGGAGCCAAGCAATGGAAACATATCATTGAGAAAGAAGTGGATTGAGACAGGGAAGCTATTCAAATATTTGTGAACCTCAAAGAATGGTCCAGTTTTTAATGCTTTTAATTAGGGTTGGCACTTGTTTTCTGTAATCTGACTTTCCCCAAGCTTGAGTATATTTTTCCATTCACTTCCTCCAGTTTATCATGAAAGGGGATGGTGAGCATGAGCTTGATTCCCCCTTCTTCCCTGAGCTAACACTGGTGAAAAGACTATTTGTGCCATATACTGCCGACCTGCTCTGAAACCCACCCCCATGCCACACTACACACTGTCTGAGGTAACTTATGCCTGGATGTCCCAGAAAAATGGTTAGCACTTATAATGGACATTCTCATCTGATTCCACTATGGCTAAGAAAAGTTTGTTGTATGAATGCCTTGACTCTTGGTAATTGCGAAATCTAGCTATGGCAAGGGTGTGTGAGAATTGGTCTTAGGAAAGAAACAGTCACAATGACTTTGAAGACTTTTCCTTGTTGCGGGTTTCTTTGCTCTACCTTTACCTCCTTGGCTTTAAAGGGTCACTTCACCATGGCTTTCCCATCATCTTCACCCCCCTGAAAATATGGACTCCAACCCTGGGCACCAATGCTTTGAGAGATGAAGTCTTATTTTCCTAGGTCTTAGGTCTCCATGACATATCCCAGCTATCTCCTTACCATAAGCCTATTTTATGATAATCTCTATTCAAATGGAAATTTGGACTCAACTCTTTGCTACCCTGATTGTAAGAGGTGAGATTTTGACCTAACTTACTGAAGCCTAGACCTTCATGCCACTTCCTGCTTCTCCTTCCCATAGCCCCAGATAAGTATGGCACCCCACACAAATACACTTTTAAAATTCCTTAATATGTCTTCCTTTCTCACTAGAATGTAAGTTTCTTGAATGTAAGGACAGCATTGCTTGTTTGTATTTCTATCCTTAGCATTTACCACAGTGCCTGGTACTTAGTAAATGTTTAATAAAAACATTTCCTGATCAGAGCATTGTTGTCTCAAGCATACGTGGATGGGTTGACTGTAGAAATGTCACACTATTCACATACAGGTGAGCAAGTGAGAGGCAGCATAGCACAGGGTATTGAGAGCTCACCTCCAAGACAGGAACACCTGGGTTCAAGTCTCAACTACAACACACAGGGGCTGTATGACTCTGGGCAATTCACTTGATCTCTCTTATTCCTTACAATGGAGTTCTATATACATATACGCATATACACACACATACACCCCCATGTACATACACACACAAACACATACATACATACATACATGTGTATAGATGGTATTTTTATATAGGCATTATATATATACACATGTATATGTGTGTGTGAGGTTATATATATTTGTGTATATATATACACACATACACACATGTGTATATGTATATATACATGTGTGCATGCACACACACAGTCTCAATGTTACCTAACAAGGAAGGTGTGTGTGTATACACATATATAATAGATACATATACATACATGGAGTTATATATAGATATCTGTATACATATGTGTGTTTCTATGTACATATATATGTGCACATAGGAAATCTCTCAATGTTTCCTCACAAGGAAGGTGTGTGTACACACACACATAACACACACGAATGTATATGCATATGCATGGAGATATGTTTGTATGCATGTGTGTATATATACAAATGTATATGTATACACACATATCTCAATGTTTCTTAACAAGGAAGATATATGTGTACACACATCTATATATACATACAGATACATGTATACTTACACACACCCATAAGTCTATGGGAAAAGGGAGAAGTATGGCATACAAAAAGGGATGCTGATGGCATACAAAAAGAGAAAACAGGATATTGTTTTGTCTTGTGAGGAAGATGTAAATAAGTGTGTTCTTAGAGAAATGATTACTAATAACCAATGATTTGGGGAGATCCAGAGTTCCTCCTTTTTCTTTAAAGTCCTCATTTCAAGGCTCAGTCTCTGAAAGACATTGCTGCTAATGAGATTTAATTAACTTTCTCCTTAATCTTGTTCATACTCCACCTACCCTTACCAGGAATTTGATCTAAAGTAGAGAAAACCATTGTGCTTTACACAGGTATGGGTGGGGATAAATTCTTTAATTAGATTTCCCTAGGCTAGACAATTTAGAAATAAATGACATCATCAAAGTTACATCCCCCACACCCTCATTAGAATATATCCATTTCTTATTGTAATATTAATTCACTCTCATTGTTAACCAATCAGAATTGATTGCCACCCTCAGGAACACCCAATCTTCTAAGGGCATACAAACTGTGAACCTACTGCCATGGTTCGTCTTGGGCATTTGAGAGTGTCACTGACACCTTCAGTTGGTAATATGTTAGCATTATTAATAAAATGATTAATTACACAGAAATTATGTCTGTCCAACTTTTTAAATGTCACCGTACTCTACATCGCTGTTAAATAATATATGTAAGGTGCTCTAATCCTTGGAGTGCTATATAAATGTTAGTGATTAACATCATTGTTGTTATTTGATGGGATAAGGGATAAGATGGAAAGGGAAGCCAAAACTTGAGTTGAATAGAAGTGAAGACTTCTTCATAGTCACGGTGATGACTATGAAGTCATTAATAGATGCTATGAAGTCTTTATCTCTCCAGGTATTGTTACAATAAACAGTTTGTTCTGGATGGTTTCATTATCTACAAGATAATGGGTATAATATAGTTTGAAACTGCATATGATATTCAGTAATTATTGCCAGATGGTTGGGGAGTGCTCCATGTTCCTTAGCCTAGATGGCAACAGCTATAATTGTATCAATAAATAAGACAAATCAAAAAGAGGGGGAGATAGGGTTCTACCAGGAAAGTTATTCAACCAATTGTGTCTTGAAAATGGATACTTTGTGTACAAGAGTATAGACAAAAAAGAAAGGAACTGAAGGAACAGATTGGAACCAAGTCCTTTACCTCTTCTTTGGCGATGCGCATATCATCAGTAACATTGGAGAAAACTGTGGGTTGGATGAAGTAACCTTTGTCTCCCCATGATCCTCCTCCACATTCCAATTTGGCTCCTTCCTTCTTTCCACTCTCAATGAGGTCAAGTATTTTGGTGTACTGTTCTTTATCAATCTACATGAAAATATGAGCGGTGGGGGAGGAAGGGATTAACAGAAAAGAAAGAAAAAAATTAACAAAGTCATGATAATTCTTTGAATTTGTGATTAAAAAGAAAAACAAACAAACTCAGAAAATGGTTAAATGTTACAAATGCCATATCTAAACAGCTTCCCTGGCCTGGAAGTAGTTGGGTTTTTTTTTTAAACTCTATATTTGTAAACCTTAAAGTATTATATCAATGTAAATTAAGTTTATTTTTATTAATAAAAATGTTTGTGTTGAAGAATCTTATGGCTAGCTAATTTAAATGAATCTTTGACATATGGCTAAAATAAAGAGAAAAAGAAACCCCTTCTTAAACTGTCTGGTCTTCAATTACTTTAGAATGAGTTTATATAAATAAAACAAATTCTAAACTATCTTATACTAAGAGTTTTGGAGAATCAAATATATTTTTGTCCAATTACAATTCAACCAAAATCCATTTTAATATGCCTTAAAAAATTAAGAAAAAAACCTCCAATTAATTTTGATTTACTTTTATTTGGTTAAAAAATAAAAGAATCATCTCAAACTGGGCCTTCAATTCAGAAGGATATTTGTTCCCAATGAGTTCACACTCTCCCCTGAAATCAATAAAGCTTATGACAAAACTCTTCCAGAGAAGTTTAAAATGGGGACTTAGACTGGGAGCCTAGTGTTTCCAGGACAATTACTTGGTAACAGCCAGCACAATACAAACACAATTTTTGTCTAGTAGCAAACTCTCATGGTAACTATCTCTTGACATTATTTTATGCCATTGAGATTATCCTCAGTAAAAATAATTTAGTAAATATTCAGTTTCTTTGTTAAGTATTTCAACATTCATTGTTATGCAAAGAAAAAAATAAAATTATCAAAGCAAAAGAGTTATTTTTAAAAGTTCCCAATTATTCATATACATGTTTTGGGAATAAGGTTGACAAAATAAAAGAAAGTATGGTATAGGAGAAACAGGACTGGATTTGGAGTCAGAGGACTCAGGTCAAATTCTAGCTCTACTACTTATTTGGCTATGTAACTGTAAGGTATTCCCTCAACCTTTATGAGTCTCAGTTTCCTCCTCCTTAAAATGAGATGACAACATTTGCACTTCCTGCCCTATCTCACAGGGCTGTTATAAGAAAATTGTTTTTAAGTTCCAAAGTATTACATAAATGAGATACTGTTAGTTTTCAAGAGGGTCACCTTACCCAATCAATTAATCTATCCAGCAACAGGCACTTATTGTGTGTCACCAAGAGGCAGTATGGCATAATAGATAGTTTACTTTAAAGTCAAGAAGATCTGCTGATGGCTAAGTAAATCACTTAAAATATCAATGCTCCAGGCAACTCTCTTAAGTTAGAGAGAAAGTGATGACCTGCATTGATAAGAGGGAGTTTCCTCACCAGGAAGTTCTCCAGTGCATAAACTCAAATACAAACTGATCCCTGCAGGGCACATGTTGATTTAGGAAACCACAAATTAACATCCATATTGCATTGTGTTTTTATTTATTTTATTATATTTATATTTATTTATTTATTTTGTTTATCTGGTTCTGCCCATACTTGGGAGTTTTGCAGGTTGCTTGTGGCCTGCTGGGCAGGAGTTTGACACCTCTGCTTTATCCAAAAGAAATCCCAGGTTCAGTTCCTATGCCCTGTCTACTATGTACTAAGCTCTAGGCTTACAAATTAAAAGTGAAAACAGCCTCTGCTCTATTTTCTTCATTGCAACTTAACAAGAAACAGTTAGATATTCATATTCATTTGTCATAAATGAATCTTGCTCATTGTATAAATAGGCTTTCAGTATTTAGCTCATGTCACTCTATTAGGTTACAAGTGAGTCAAAGATTACATGGTGACCTTCCCAAAGCAGAACACTCATGGATCAGCTCCCATCTCCTTTTGTATTCCCTTCCTTTGCTTGCAGTCTAGCTTGCATTCATGGAGCTGGCTGGGAATAAGGATTCACATACCTATGGATCTGGTAACAGTTTTCCCACTCTCTTTTGACAACCACACTACACTGATGTACAAATTAACACTTTAAGTTCCACTGCCTTTAAGTTTCACATTTCCAACTTATAACTGTATAATCAAGGAGCAGGACAATATGATAATAGATTCAGAGCTCCAGAGAACCTGAGATTTCATCTAGGACTTGGAGTTAGCCATGAACTAACTGTGTGACCCTGGGCAGGTCACTTAAACTTCATGGGCCTCAGCTTCCTCATCTGGGGCTGTGCTCATGAATTTTAAGATCTTTTCCAATTGGGAATCTACAATTTTATGATGAATAAAATTCTAGTCCTATGTGCTGATTTTGTAAATGAGGACTTGAGGACCAGAGTTTAAATGACAGACTCAAGGTCATGCAGGTACCAAGGGGCAGAGATGGGAATCAAATCCAACACCTTTTCTAAACTGACATCACCTTTCTCTTCTTCCATTGTCTGGAATGGTTCTCCTTCCCAATTTCTTGCATTAGTATCATCATTCTTTTAAGTTTCCAGGCTGGAAAAAAATTGTGACATCTTTGACCTTCCCTCTTCTTTTCCCTTTACATATTCCATCTCATTCCATGTTCTAAAATGTCTTTTCCTCTCCACTCTCCATGGTATGCAATGGCCTCCCTGTGATCCCTCTAACTTTAGGCTTTCTCTTCTCTAACCCATCCTGTATATAAGAAGCTTGTAAACCTAATCTTCATAAAATACTACTTTCATCATCTTTAAAGCCTACTTCATTACATTGAAACTCTTTGTCCTGACTTACAAATCTATTCCTAATCAGATCTTGACTTATCTACATGACTATTTCTCATCACTTTCCATATGTACACCCCGTCCTCCTCTTAGCCTAGTCTCTTTACTCACCCTTAAGCACAACAATCCATTTGCCACCTCCTTGTTAATATCCATAATATTCCTCTTGCCTGAAATGGTCTCTCAAGCCTCTGAGTCTATCCAAATTTAAAGGCTTAGTTCAAATAGCCTTAGAATATTTGAATAGAACTATCACAGCCCAAGGGTAGCTAGGTGATGCAGTAGATAGAGTGCTGGTCTTGAAGTCAGGAAGACCTACTACAAATTCATGAGTTCAAATCTGGCCTCAGATACTAGCTGTGTGACTCTCGGTAAGTTACTTAATACCATTTGCCTCAGTTCCCCTTCTGTAAAGATGAGCTGGGGAAGGAAATGACAATGCCTTTTGACTTTCCTATGGTCTTTATTCATTTTGAAGTATAAAAAGTGATTCTCCCATGTTTTGTGGGGGCATCTAACTTCATTTATATCAGATAAATGGTGCAAAAACACCTTTAATACATAGAAATCATTATGAAAAATCTCAACTTCACCAACTCTCAATGACTTAAATTTATTGTTCAATAAACTCACAGTGAATTATCTGTGAAACTTATTTTAATTTGTAATTTCTTGTAGTCAAATTATAAAAAAAGCTATTCAACATTAATCTTTTGTCTACACATCACACAAAAAGAGACTTAAGAGTTGACCCAACCAATGGTGGAATGAAACAACAGGACAAACATTCCAAACAAATTAAGAGGGTGGTCATCAGTTCTTTTCCACAATAACAACAAAAGGTATTTAAATTGTGTGGAAGGACTGGGGCATTTCTTTCTTTTTTTTTTGTCTCAGTTTACTTTTTGGTTAAATGCATGACACAATCTTTTCATTTCATGATTTTTTTAGGGATCAAGGTCTAAAAGTATACTTCTCTTTAAGGGGTCAAGTCACTAGTTTAGTGACAGGCATATTTTATTTCATAGAGACCTACATCTTCTTTCTTTTGGATGCAGTGTCAGAGAAGAGAAGGAAGTATATAGGAGAGATATTAGAAAGGTGAAATTAACAGAATTTAACAATAAATTGAATATGGGAGATGAGAGAGAGGGGTTGAGGATGTCACCTAGGTTGTGAGTCTGGGTGACTGGGAGAATTGTGGTGCCCTAGAGAGTAACAGAAAAATTTGGAAAAGGAAGGGTTGGTGAGGCATGGAAGTTAATGAATTCAGCTTTGGACATAGTGAGTTTAAGATGTCTAAGGAACAGTCAGTTTGAGATGTCTAATAGGCAGCTGGAGATGTGAGTCTGGAGGGAGGTTAGAGTTGGGGAAGTGGAACTAAGAACCAACAGCATAGAGAAAATAAATAAATCCAAAGGGGCTGCTGAGATCTCTATGTGAAATAGTATAGAGGAGAAGGTGTGCAAATGAGTGCTGGCAGCACACACTTTGAGAGAATGGGAGAAATAATAATAACTCAGGTCTTCCTGACTCTAGTCCAGAGCTCTTAAACACTTTGTCATCTACAGAATATTGTTGAGGAAGAACAGAGGATTTTGTACAGCTTTCACTTTGCAAGAGAAATGAATGCTGGAGGCAAAAATTATGTGAAAGGTAAGAAGTAAGGATGATTTACCCAATGGGTTTGGTGTTTTTTTTTTTTTTTTAACAAAAATGTTCTCATAGTCTCAATTCTAAATTTGTTCCCTTGATTAGTTTCAGTCATTAGGCTTAAACAACATGGGAAGAGGAAGTTTTGTTTCCTGTCCCAAGTTGGGAAATCCTGACTCTGCATATCTTTCCAATCTGTTCCAGTCTTGCCTAGGAAAGCAAGCAAAGCCAGCATCATCCTCATTTCATTCTGGATCCAGAGAAAGGAAATAGAGACAAACTCCTTTCTCTCTATTGAGTTTTGTTTTCTATTGTGTGCATTCCTTTATTTACCAACCTGAGGGCCTTGCTGTACTCCTGGGTTCAGAGGATTCCCCAGTGTGTATTTCTTGGCACGCTCTACACTCCTCTGAACAAACTCATTGTAAATAGACTCTTCCACAAAAAGTCTCGATGCGGCAGTGCAGCACTGGCCTTGGTGGAAGAACACACCCTGGTGTGCAAATTCCACAGCATTATCCACTATAAAGGAAACATCACACAGGTTAGTCAAAAAGGACACATTTTCAAAGGATTTTTTTTCCAAGAGAAAAGGAAGTGTCTTTTAAACAGTAGATAATCTGTCTCCCTTTGGACCTCATTGTCCATGAATATTTGTTTTGGAGAGTGCATTAAAACTGGATGGTGGAGGGAAACCTGAATTGACTGTACAAGTCTCCAGCGCTCAATAGCATCAAAATATCACTTTGAAAAGATCTGAGTAATTGCTCTCTGGCAACAGTAAAAGGGACAATTGGAGTAGAATCTAAAGTTCCCTTTTTCACTTGCAATCTTTTGATCTTGATCCCCAGAAAGAAACTTTCACAATGCTTCAAAAAGTGGGTCTACATTATGCCCAAGGACTATAAAACTGTGCATACCCTTTGACCCAGCAATACCACCACTAGGGCTGTATCAAGAAAATAAAAAGAAAAGGGGGCAGGGAGAGGAAAGGACCTATTTGTACAAGGATATTTATACTAGCTCCTTTTGTGGTGGCAAAGAATTGGAAATTGAGGGGATGTCCGTCAACCGGGGAATGACTGAACAAGTTGTGGTATATGATTGTAATGGAAAATAGTTGTGCTATAAGAAATGACAAGCAGGATGGCTTTAGAAAAACCTGGAAAGATTTATATGAACTGATGCAGAATGAAGTGAGCAAAACCAGTAGAACATTGTACACAGTAACAGCAATATTACAGGATCAATAACTGTGAATGACTTAGCTATTCTCAGACATAAACAATGATCTCTCTAAGACAATCCCAAAGGACTCATGATGAAAAATGATGACTCCTGAGAAAGAACTGGCAGAGTCTGAATAAAGACCAAAGCATACTATTTTCTTCCTTCCTTCCTTTCTTTCTTTCTCTCTTCTCTCTCTCCTTAGAGTTTTCTTTCACAAAATCACTAATATGGAAATATGTTTTATATGATTGCACATGTATAACCTCTATCAAATTGCTTACTGTCTCAGGGAGGAGAGGATGTCAGAGAATTTGGAACTCAAAATTAAAAAAATAGAAAGTTAAAATTGTTTTTACATGTAATTGAGGAAAAATAAAATATTATTTTAAAAAGTGGATCCACATTCTTGAAAAAAAACAAACCTACCTTCTCATGAATTGTTGAGACAGTTGTATATACATTAAAAAGTTGTATTTATCTTAACTCTATACTAGAAGACAATTAATATACTAATTTCCTGGAAGCTTAGCTTTGGAGATATGTATATTTTTTTAGCCTTTGCATACTGCCAAGATTCACTTATTTCCTGGCTTAAAGGATGATGCTTTCTATTTAGTGGTCAATTTGGGAGACTTCCCATGTTACTCTTTGATAACTGAAATGGCATAGTGGAAAGGGCACTAAGCCAAAACTCAAGAAAGCCTTAGTTCAAATTTAGCCTCTGACATTTACTAGTTGTGTGACCCTGGGCATGCCACTTAAACTCAGTTTCCTCAAGCATAAAATGGAAATAATAATATCACCTACCTCCCAGGGCTGTTACGACAATCAAATGAGATAATATTCGCAAAACACCTTTCAAATCTTAAAATGTCAAATAAATTCTGGTTGATATTATTATTGTTGTTATTGTCATCATCATCATCATCATTTTAATAGCTTAAGTACTCAGTTTTCTTTAACTTGATGGAACTTTCTCATCTTTTTAAAGTTCTTCTGAATTAATTTTGGGAAAAAAGACTTTTAAAAAGTGAGCATCTCTCAGGGTGGTACGGTACAGAGAATGCAATAGGGAAGTGTCATCTAAAAGTTTATATAGGTAAAATATCAGGAAGCAGATGATACAGTTCCATGAGTGAAAGAGCCATGTGTCTTTTATATACATGAAATTAAGTCTGCCTGCTGGTTTTATAAGGTCTGTAAGACAAGTGAAGCATAACTACTTTTTGGTTTGGTTTAGTTGATTATCTTCCATAAATAAAGAATGTGGGATTTTTCTTTCTTGTATTCTTATAGAAATTCAAGTAGAGTGTAAGCCCCTTGAAAGGAGAAAATGTTTTGGTTTTTGTTTGTATCCCCAGAACCACACCACCAAAGTGCTTTGCACACAGAGGGGGCTAAGGAGTAGAAACATTTATTGAGTTGGAAAAAAAAAAGACTCATTCCAGTGATCTAGCTAGAAATAATTTAGCTCATTGTAGAATACTGGTCAAAGATTGTTCTGAGATATGGTAAAAGTAAAAGAAACATAAAAATATTAATTATACTAACGATCAGCATCAGCAAATACAATGCAAGGGCTCTTTCCCCCCAGTTCCAGTGAAACCCTCTTCAGGTTGCTCTTCCCAGCAGCCTCCTTAATTAGCATGCCAACCTGAAAGAGAACACAAAGAGGAAGTTGGTTCTCAATAGGGAGAATTAGTTGGTTCTCATCCATTGCACTTGGATTTCCAAGTTCTGGATATCTCATGATGTTTCCTCACTTAAATTGTTTGTTCTTTTGTATTTACTCAGATGTGAAACTGGACTAAATGATTTCCCACTTTTCCAACTGGAAAATTGTATGATTCAATCATCTCCTTTATTCCTTGGGTTCACTGTCACGATCTCCTTTTCACTAACACATAATATGATGCAAGATGGAAGGAAGCATTTGGAGATGCCTTTTCCTTGCAACCAAGTATCTCTGTATTTTATCTTATTATATACCAATCATAAACAAACAGTTTCTATTATAATGGTTAATATTTAGCAAGTTGTTTTCCAAACTCAACTTTGAACACAGAAAGCTCATACATGCCAATTGATGTTGTAAAAGAGTATTTTAGTAACACATTTCTATTTTAATTCAACTCACAGGGAAAAAAATGAATGGATATCAATGTAGTACTAGTTTTTATTTTGTCTAGTAATTGTCCAGCAATATTGGAAAGCCAAAGTGTATGAAATATGTATGTTGCCCAAATTATGTCATACAGCTGGATGAGTAACCTATCAAATAAATCTGACCACATGAACAACTTCAGCAATCACTGTAGATGGGCAGTAAATTAGGCCTAGAATTGCATTGAAGGAGATCAGGCTGGATTGCTTTTGAAAAAATGCATAGAGATTTCAGCAATCCCAAATTTTTTCCTCCTGGAAAGGTCCCTCTCTTCATCATCAATATTCTCAAAAAGAATTATAGTTTGAAACAGTCCAAAAAAAAAAACCCAGAAAGACATGAGGCATATATAAGTGGGCTACAGAACATTACCAACAGTAATTCTCCTGGACACATGAAAAATGAAATTGAAGTCATGTTGATCAGAAAAGGAAGTGGTTATGTAGTAAGAATAAGAGACTGTAGCTGGAAATTTCATTTGGTGAATGGGTACACAGGAGATACTGAAATAATAAGTGGAAGTCTTCCAGTGCTTTGTTAAAAAGGCAAAAATGGTAAAATAGACAGGAATTAAATAGAATGAGATGGCATAGGAGTGTTGTGATTTGTACAAATCCAGGAACCACCTACAACAATTAGATAATGGATACATCAAAGCTTGTAACTTGACTGCTACCATAAACTACAACAAAATACCTGAATTTATTTTGTTTGTTTTTATTAGTTACATTAAAGCTTGTTTAATGTTTTAATTCAACTGGGTTCAAGTGAATCTAGAAATAGACTTCTCCTGGTGTGGAGCCAATCTGAAATGTCCTATCCCAACTCTCCTATTCTGTACATACATTTCTTACTTGAGAAGACAAAGAATCTTCATTCCTCTAAATTACAACTTTTCTTCTTTCTCTTTCTATTCTCAAAGGGCCTCAATGGACCCATTTTTGTAAACAGTGGTTGCTAAGCAGCCAGCACCCTCTCATATTTCATAACATTTTAGTATATGTAATTTAAACTAGAATTGATGGTACATTTTGGATCCTCAAAGATATTAAATTGACTGGGCAATAGTTGTTGGAAGTGTGAATGAAACAGCGAGTACAATTTTGTTTAATGTATATGATTCAGAAAACCTTCTCACTATTGACCTCCATTCTAAATATTCAAATGTGTAACTGGGCCAAATATTAGATGTCTCCAAACGCTGCTGCATTAAGCTGGTCTTTGTCTATATTTCTATTATCTGAGGTAACAATATACTTAACTCTTCCAAGCCTTAGTTTTTCCTTTCTGTAGAATGGGGAAAAATGCCTGTAGCAGCTACCTCCCAGGATTTTTGTGAGGATGAACTGAGATAATTTAAGTAAAGCATGGCATGAACTTTATATGTATTATGCAAATTCATGTATTATTATTTTAGTGTGTCTGACCTGAATAAATAGCATAAAGCTTTGAAATAAAAAAACTCTTACAAAACAACATAGGTAGAATGATGCTTTAAAGAAGCATAAGGGGAGATCTGAATTGCTATTATAATTAAAACTATTAAAATTGGCACGTTGCTGTATTGGATATGGATGGGTAATGCATATACTTATGCTACCCAACTCACAGACTATTATAATAAGAAGGGCCTTTAAAGTTTATCTAGTCCAACCCTTTTATTATACAGAGGAGGAAACTGAGACACACAGAGGTTGTGATTTGCTGAATATGTATAGTTACTTCATGATATAACCTGGACTTGACTCTAAAATTTCTGACTCTAGGGTCTGTGCTATTTTTCACAGGGCTGTTGTAAGAAAAGTACTTTGTAATCTCTAAAGCGCCACAGGCATTATTATATTATATATTATTATATATTTTATATTAATTAGATATTAACCCTGGCATACCAGTCAGCACTGATCTAATGAAATAATACCCTAAATAGAAAGTAATCATTTTAAAACTGCCAAGGCTTGATTTGTATCTCCATCACAGTATCCATTGTTACATTATAGACCTACGCATAAACATCCAGTTCATGACCATGACCATGTCTTGCTTGCAAACACAGTCAGCTCTTATATATGTGTGACTCATTCACAACAACATAGGGACCCCATCTTGGCCTTCCCCACCCTATCATTCGCTGAGATAGAATTCAAGCTCATTTTGATCTATAACATATACAATAAAGGACAGTCTGGTGGAGGTTAGGAGGGGAAATAATGGGGCCTCCATCCATTAATCAATTAAGTAACATTTATTAAATGTCCACTTCGGTTAATTTTTGTGCTAGATACTATACAAAAGCAAAGGAGCGAGAACCCTTCCCCTCAGGGGGCTTACATTCTCTCAGACCTACAGTGCCTTCCAAATAGATGGTACATAATAAATGCCTGTTGAATAAAATTGAAGACTGATCTCTCTCTAAACTTCCTTTTTCCAAACCATATTTGAAAGTATTAGAAAAGAATGCAACTTAAACAGAACTTGACCCCAAAATGGCTACATACACTAGCTACATACACCATTGGGAATGACTTAGTATCTAATTTAACTTACCTCTGTGGACCCCGTGAAGGCCACTTTATCTACATCCATGTGAGAAGAAATGGCTGCTCCAGCCGTGGGTCCATAACCAGGCACAATATTCACTACTCCTGGTGGAAATCCTGCCTAAAGGAGTGACAGTCACAGATTAATCCTAGAGAAGGATCTAAAACTACTACGAATAGAAAAACACCTTGCTTATAATCACCTCATTATCATCATCATCATCATCATCTTTATTTATAAAACACTTTAAGTTTTGTAAAACACTTTACATATTATCTTATTAGATTCTCACAACAACTCTGCAAGTTATTAGCCATTATCATTCCTATTTTAGAGAGGAGAAAAGAGAGGCTGAGAAAGGTTAAATGACTTGACCAGGGTCACACAGCTAATAAGTGTCTGAGTCAGGATTTGAACTCAGGCCCTCCTGGATCCAAGTGTAACACTCTCTCCTCCATGACACTTTGTTTCCTATCTTTGGTTCTAACCTATGAAGAAAAAAAAATCACCTCAAAATGTCTCTATCATTCTTTTTCGCCATCCCCACAACACATATTTTATTCATTATATTTGAAGGCTGCATTATTCAGAAGCAGCTTCCATTCTTAATTGTGGTAGTGTTCATATTCCACGACACATTCAGATGATCATGAGTTTCCAATTTCACAAGAGGAGATATGTGTAAAAGTGCTTTGAAAACCATAAAGTGTTCCACATATGGTATGGAATTAGTATTACTATGCATAGATCTGTCTTGGAGAGTTCATATTTTTACCCATTGGCTCATGTTCCCAAGTACCTTCGTATTCCTTTTAAATTAGTGAAATATTCATCTGTGAGGGATATATCAAATGGATGGAAGAAAAGAACCATGATACTTTACCCTATAGTAATGTACCAAGTCTATTCGCTACCTCAGTAGTTGAATATACTTTCACCATGAACTCTCAAACTCAGGAAAGGAAATGTGAATTTGGTAACAGAAACAAGAGTTTCATAATCTAATTATAAAAGATAACTCTACCAAGTAGGAAATCCTTATCCATTAGCTTTATTTTCATTATCTATTGCACTCTAGAGGAGTGAAATATCTTTATAAAGAAAATCAGACTGATCAAGGGATGATATGTTTTTTGGGGGATTAAAATAAAGGAAGAGGGGAGGAGGTAAAATCATCGTTTTCCCAACCCTGATTTCATTCATTCGTTCATTCATCCTGGCAAAAATCCTTGGTGAGTTCTGAAGATAAAATGTTTTTGTTTCTTCACTTTTCTTTACCAAAAAGGGATAGAGTAGAGTTGGTAGTAACCAAGCAGGAGAGTGACTTATTAATGGTATGTACATATTCCTTCTTTCTATCTATCTATCCATCTATCTATCATCTATTGCTACTGTTGGTTCTTCTTCTATTGCTTGATCATGATGTGACATTTATCTTGATTATCTGAAATGAATGTTAATGATTTTAATGTTTCCTCACATCTAGACAGAGCCCATTGACCAATTTGCAGATAAGTGGAGTATTTGTTTCATGTAGTACAAATCAAGGGCTTTGGGTGATAGAAGAATGATTGTTAGTGAGCTCAGTACTCTAGTTTTTCACATAGTAGATTGTTAGAGAGCACACTGTGACTTAGCAAACTTACCTCTTTAATTAATGATGCTACATGAAGAGCAGTTAGTGGGGTCTGTTCTGCTGGTTTGATGATCACAGTGTTTCCACAGCAAACGGCAGGTCCAATTTTCCACATAAGCATAATCAAAGGGAAATTCCACTATAAAATAGGAGATGAACATAAATTTTTCCTCATTAATGATGAATCATGTTTCTATTAAACCCATAAATGATGCCTCGTGGTGGCATGGGGTGATTCTGAGCAGTGGAATGGAAGTTCTGGAAGGTCCTATCAAGCTAAAATGCTTTTCATTACAGGGGAGGTGATAATTTATATCTGAAGACCAACATAGTTATGTTTGGAGAAGATAATCAGAGGAGTAGACATCAACTAAATTTTTTTTTCTCCCAAGCAAACAACTTAGGAAGAATATCTACATAGAGAGACTGTTGAAATCATGAATCCATGAAATACTAAAACAATGAATTTAATTTTAGCCATAGTCACTTATGTTTCCCACACATTCAACATTTCCCAAACATTAAATAATAATTATTATAATAGTATAAATTTGACTTATGACCTTATAGATTTTAAATGGATATAGGTTCAATGGTAACACACATATATTTTTAAAGAACTTTTAGAAAAACCAATCACTTTGTGAGGGGTAGATCTGGAAGGGTAAGTTTGGTCTTTTAATTGAATGACTTCTCTGACACAAAGAGAAACTTGTTCATGGAGAAGGAACCAAATTCTCAATGTGACACATAAATGATTAAACATTGAAATATTTCTCATCTTCTGGACTACTAATTATTGTTTTCAAAGTTATTATGTTAGATATCAAATATTTGAAATCACCCAGCAGATCAATTAGTTTGAGATACAGGGCTCAGTGAAGTTTATGTGGTGTTATATACACTTACATTTATTTATCAATTCATTTATTCATCTAATTATTTTCTCATCTATCTATCTATCTATTTCTCTATTTATCTATTAATCTATCGATCTGAATGGCATACTGGAAAGTGTGAATGTTTAATCATACAGATGACATTCCTTTGGCTTTAAAGGAAATCTAAGCAAGGATGGACTTTTACTTAAAGGAATTAAAAGAAAAATATGTTTCCATTTGCTTTTAAATCATGAGATAACGAATCATTTGGAGCATGAGATAACAAATAAGGTGACAAATCACATGATGTGCACAACACTTTGCAAACCTTAAAGTGCTATATAAATGTTACACCTAGGTGGTGAAGTGGATAGACTGCTGGATATGGAGTCAGGAAAACCTGAGTTCAAATGTGGCATCCCATACTTTTTATTTGTGTGACCTTAGGCAACTCACTTAATTTCAATCTATCTCAGTTTCTTCATCTTTGAAATGGGAAAAAAAAGTACAACATGGTTTACTGCATATGCCTATCACAGCTTATGTATTTAGTACAGTTCTAAACACTTCTTTGTGCAGTAGAGGGAAACTGGTTCATCCTTTAAAGACAGAGTTTTCAAATATGTGGAGGCAACTCACAGGAATGATTTGGCCACAAACACCAACAGGCTCATGTCTTGTATAAGAGAAAAACTTTCCATCTAAAACAAACCAAAAAAAAAGAAAACAAAACATAGTATATCAGACAAATATTGTTCTGAAATAACCAGGAGAAACAAACAAGCCAATTATTTTCTATGCAGAAAAGGGGATTTTATAATACTATATGGGATTTGATGTCACTCGAATCATGCACCCAAGTCACGTCAGAACAACTACACAGGTGTTTAACAGGATCCAAAAAGTGGTGTAATCCAGTCTCTCAACCATTCGGAAATATATTTGCAAAGATCTCCAGAAAATGAATGGGAAAATTATAGGGAATGGTGTGTATGTGGAGGGGGTGAGTATGATAAATGTAATTCTGGAGTTCAAAATTCCTAAAATATTTGTGCTAAACTTCCCTTGCTAGTGGTACAACCTCTATGATTGGCCTGTCCTAAATGATTTAAATAATAAAAACAGAGGCCCACAAACATTCTTCCACCTTCTTTTTCTCTTCTTCCTCTCTCCAAAGACATCTGGTTTAAATCTGAGTTTGACTTCATTCCACTTGCTTAATATTCAATTTTGCCTTTTCTGCTATTTTTTTTTAAATTTTCTGTTTTTATTTCCCAAGAACCTATCAGAATGATGACCTTATACATAATAGGTGCATAATAAATGTTTGCTGCATCTTAATACCCATTCATTTCAATTCATTTGTACATTTCATTCCGTCTCCCACTTTATCAAAATAGAAACTAGATCCCCCAAATAAGCCCTATGTCTGCATAGCACTATTTCCTTACTCTCTTGTCATTCCCATTCTGTGTTTCACTGCTGTTGACCTGCCCAATTCCCATCTTGTATCCGTGGTTCACCTTGGCTGGGCTTCTTTATTAGTTATTAGGTAGTTTCAGTGTTGCTAGGGTTATTTTAAATCCTTGGGGAAACTTAAAGATAATTTCCATTGAATGTTCAACTATCAGGCTCATTAAACTGGAAAGTGAAGTCAGTCCTGTATGCTGGAAGTAGAGCGTGTCTTGAGAACAACTTTCCTGCATTTGCTTTTTAGAAGAAGGTTTTATACTAACGCTCAGCTAATCTCCCAACCTTGATGCTCAAACTCTGCCTCTCCTTCACTTTTAGACCCGTGTTTCCGCTGGATTCTAGCTGAGATCAATTCTGCTGACAGTTCTTGTTTTCCAGATTTCTAACTATTTATCATTTCATAACTTTTTTTCTGCATGGCCCATTAAAACAAATAAACAACAAACAAAAACAAACAAAAGATGCGTTCTTTCACCTCTCCACAATGTGAGACCCAAGGCCTTGGATTAATCATTATCTTTCTCTGAGTTAACAACTTTCAGGGAGAAGTTAAGTCAACAATCCTAAGTAAGGTTACAGTTGTGTCTATGTGTTGTTATCAGAGCAAGGAAAGAATGTCAGCTAACTACTTGATACCTAACCATAATGTATCATTACAGATTAAAAACAAAAAAGGCCCCAAATCTTAGGCATAACATTGGATACAAGTTATGAAAAGTCTGACCCATGCATGGGTTATGTATGTATGTTAAATTTTATTCTTTTTATTAATTGTATTAATGTGCTTACAATTTCATTCATGTACTTACAGTATATTTCATATTTTATTTTATAATTATTTTATAATAATGTATAATTATTTTATAATTATTAATATATTCCTGAACCTGCCAATGACACAATTCTGCTGAAGTTTTCAAAAACATTTAATAAATATTAACAAATCCTAGCAATTGAAATTGTCATTATTAATCAACCAATCACTCCACAAATAGTTATTAAGTATCACATTGTGCCAGGCATTGTGCTAGGATCTTACAATATACATAACAAAGAACAAAATAATCCCACTTGTGATGAGTTTATATTCTGGTGGGGGAAACAAGTACATATAAAAAGATATGCAGTATAAATGTAAATCTAATAAATAGATAAGATGTATAATACAGAAACGTAATATCATATAGTAGTATCATATAGAATAGTAAACATATACAAAATAGTTAAACACAAAATAATTTAGAGGAGAGGGCTCAAGAAATTGGGGAGATTAGAAAAGGCTCCATATAGAAGCTTGAACTGAATTTTTTTTGTTGTATGAGGCAATTGGGTTTAAGTGACTTGCCCAGAGTCACACAGCTGGTGAATGTTGTGTGTCTGAGGTTGGATTTGAACTCAGGTCCTCCTGACTCCAGGGCAGGTGCTCTATTCACTGCAGCACTGCCTCTTTGAACTGAATTTTAGAAGAAGAAAAGGATTCTGTGAGGCAGAGGTAGGAGGGAACGCATTAAAGGAATAGGAGACAGCCATTACAGACGTGGAGAGGGATATGGAGTGTCATGTGGGAGTAACAAAGAAGACCAACTTATTTACAACACATAGTATGGGAAGGGGATGTCCAATGCAATTGGAAAGACAGGTTGGGCCTAGGACTTTAAATGTCAAGTATCTTTACCAGAGACTGAAGTAAAGGAGGAGGGATTAGGAAAAAGGAGGAAAGAATAGGAGATTATGTCAAACATAATTCTAGCATCGTGTTAATATATATTTTTTAAAAAGTGCTTCTCAAATTTACTTACCAATTGGGATTGTACGACCCTGAATCTTATCGGCCCAGCTTGCATAGTAGCGCAAAACATTCACAGAGGAACCTAAATCCATTGTGTAGGCATTGGCAAAGATTTTTCCAGCATTCATTGATTCCATTGTCTGAAGATCAAAAAAAAAAAAAAAAGATCAGGCCCCAAATTGAGTTTTATAACATTTGTCTAGATTTTTTTAAAAAGCATTACACTAATACTACTTTAGGCAACAATCTACAGTAATGAAGAAGGAGTGAAGAGTAGCAGAGCGCTAGGCTTGTAATCAAGAATAACTGAGCTTAACTCTTTTCTCTAATGCCTACTAGCAGGGTGACCCTGGTTATGTCCCTTAACCTCTATGTGCCAGGGGCAACACCATAGGTCCTATCTCCAAAATAAGTTGCCTTGGGAGTTATCAGTTCAGGAGCTCTTCCCACTGAGGAAATCACATATCTTTGCAGTGATTACTCTAAGAAAACATATTTTTAGGGGTTTATCTCATGTTCTGAGAGATACAACACTGCTAAAGTACTCATCAGATGATCTTTTAGTCTTCACAGATTGAAAGAACAGAGCAGTAAATGGACAAAGTTGTGGTGGGGGTTGGGGTGGGACCACAATGTGGGGGCCCTGAATACCAGGCAAAGGATAATTGGTGAGTAATAGGAACTACTGAGGAATTTTAAACAGAAGAATGATGTGACCAGGTCTATCAATAAGGTAGATTGGTGTGTGTGTGTGTGTGTGTGTGTGTGTGTGTGTGTGTGTGTGTGTATGCATATTCCTTCCCCTACCCCACAACCCCTAGTATATTGTAACCTCAATGTAGGAAGGGACAATGTCTTGATTACAAGATTGTATCTCTTCCCCTTCTAAGCACAGTGCTTTGAACATAATAGACACTTGATAGAGAATGGATACTTTGCTTTCTGAAGATCCACAATTTTCAAAATTTTGGTGTCTTGACTATTTTATGTAAAATGTTGAGTGCAGTTCTTTGTGACAACTCATTCAGGAAGTTGTTAATACTGATAATATTTATATAGTACTTAACATTTTGCAAGCTACTTTCATGTGGATTATTTCAATTGGTCAAATATCAGGCAGCTAGTGGTGAAGCAAATAGAGCTTTGGGTTTGAAATTGGCAAACATGAGATCAGATCTGGGTTTAGACATTAATTGTCTGTGTGACTCTGGGCAAGTTACTTAACTTCTATCTGCCTCAGTTTCCTCAACTGTAAAATGGGAATAATAATAGCATCTGCCTCATAAGTTTGTCAAATAAGATAATAGTTGTTTAAAAAAAAAAGCACTTCATACAGTACCTGGTACATAGTTGATGCTTTAAAAATGCTTATTCTCTTCCTTTCAATCTTATCATTTAATCCTGACAACACTGTCTGGTAGACAAGGGAGGTAGCATTTCTGATATTTATTATTTTGGTAGACTAAGTGTCATTTTATTGTTGTATTTGAAGGCAAACTATATGGAAAAGGGAACTGACTTACTCCCCTGCTTGGTCCTAGATAAATTAAGCAAAAATGGCAGAAGTTGCAATGAGACGATTTTAGACCTAATGTAAGGAAAGTTTTCCTTAGAAGATTAAAACTATCTAAGAATAGAATAGGCCACGTTGGGAGTAATGATTGGAGGTCCTCAAACAAAAGCTAGATGACATTTTTGGGTAAGGTGTAGAATAGCTGAACTCGACATTCTCTAGACCCCTTCCTATTCTGTGATTGTGTTCTATAACTTTTTATAATGCCATATAAACATTGAGTTATTATTAATACTAATGTTATTACTTATAAAAGGACCTGTTGGTAAGATTTCCTTCAACATAGGAGATAGGAGAAATACATTCTCAAAAGGCGTTCTTTATAATCTAGTATGGTTTTTTTTTAAGGACATGAAATCATCATTGCAAACAAAACCAGCTCACAATAAAGAGAACAATTGAGGCCTCTACCAATCCCTTCTTTCATCTGGCGCATACTTACTGCCAAGAGTTGACGGTCCCTTTCCACTAAATCAGCCAGTTTGTTCAGAAGCCGTCCTCTCTCTGAAGCATCCATTGTCCGCCATGGGGAGCCAATCTGAAAAGCCTGCCTTGCTGCTTTCACTGCCTTGTTCACATCCTCCTAAAAATCAAAGAAAACTAAGTTTAGAAGAATACTCAAGGCATTTCCCAATATAATTCAGCCATGGAACAACATATAGAAGTGGAATTCATATGATAGCTAAGTACGAAACATCACTCTGAGGAGACAGTGTTAGAGGAAATTTCATAGGAAAAAAAAGTGAACATTGTGTCTATTTTCACTGATTTTCATATTTTGGAGATGTTGATTTACATAATTTCAAATCATAGGATCATGGATTTTGAACTGGAAAGGACCTTTTAACAATCCTGATCTTATATGAAAAATTTGCCACTCTTCTAAGGTTAATATGTTGCGAATCTAGAATGACCTTAAAGATTATCCAGCCCAACTTACTTATTGTACCAAGAAGGAATATGGAAGCCCTGAGAAGTGATGCCAATTTCATACAGTGGGATATCTGGGGTTTGAATCCAAATCTTTTGATTTCAAATACAGAGCTCATTTTATGACTGTGTTCATCCCTTACTCAAAATACGTTGCTCTTTTGATACGTATATAATTTCATATTTAATACTTTAGAGGAAAAATGTGTTAGCACTGACTTTTTTTTTCATAGAATTGCTTTTTACATAGTATAGAGGGTTTTTTAGAATGCTGGGACATGGCACATTTCGCATTCCACAATTTTGGTATGTTGTCTTATTGTTGTCATCATCTTTAAAGAAATTATTGAATGGTTTTATGATTTGTTCTTGGACCCAACCATCCTTTAGGATTAGATTATTTATTTTCTAGTTATTTTTTAATAAAGTCTTCCAAGGTCCTTTACTGAATGTAATTTTTATTTCATTGTAGTCTGAAAAGGGTCTATTTAATATTGCTGCTTTCTGCATTTGTTTTGATGTTTTTATGAAAATGCTAATGTACAACTAAGAAAAAGACTCCTCTCTATTCTCAGTCAATTTTCTCAAGAAATCCATTACATCTACCTTTTCTAATTCTATTCATCTCCCTTACCTCATTATTATTTTTTTAAAAATTATTTTATGGTTAGGCTTATCAAATTCTGAGAGGGGAAGTTGAGATCCCTCCACTAGTATAATTTTACTGTTTCTTTCTGTAACTCATTTAGCTTTTCCTTTAGGAATTTGTATTCAGTGCCATTTGGTGCATATATATTTAGTTTTGATGTTATTTCATTGTCCATGTTACTTTTTAGTAAAATGTAGTTTCCCCTGATCATCTCTTTTAATTATGACTATTTTTGCTTTTGCTTTGTCTGAGATCATGGTTCTTACCTCCTACCTTTTTTACTTCGGCTGAAGCCTGGTAGATTCTCCTCTAGCCTCTTATTTTAACACTATGGGTGCCATTCTGTTTTAAGTGTGTTTCTTGTAAACAATATATTATTGGATTCTGGTTTCTAATCCATTCTGCTATCCACTTCTGTTTTATGATGAGATCATTCCATTCACATTCATCATTATCATTGCTAATTTTGTATTTCATTCCAACCTATTTTTTCTTGTTTATCCTTCTCTCCCTCTCTCTGTCCTTCTTTGAAAGTTTGTTTTGTTTCTGCCCACTGCCCCCTTTGATCTACCTTCCCTTTTATCACCTCCACCTTTTTATTATCCTTTTATCCTCCTACTTCTCTTTGGGATAAGATAAATTTCTGTATTCAACTAAGTGTATACAAATGTTCTTTCCTCTTTAAAGCAATTCCAATGAGAGAGAAGTTTAAGCATTACCCACCACCTCTCTGTTTTTCTCCTCTAGTGTAAAGGCTCTTCCTTACGTGCCCCTTTTATGTGAGGTAATTTTCCTCATTTATCCTCTCTTTTCCCTCTTCTCTCGGCGCATTCCTCTTTTTCATTCATCCACCTTTTTTCTTTTCTTGAGATCATCCAAACATAATCAACTCACAGCCATTAATAAAGTTTTGTACCTCTTTTTACTATCTAGCCAATTCTTTATTTTTTTTTAAGGAGTTCTTTTCCTCAGTAAGGTTTTGTACCTCTTTCACCATTTGGTCAGTTCTGGTTTTTAAATTGTTATTTTCTTTGGTACTTTTGGTTCTACCTGTTAATTGCCTTTTCATAATTTTCATACATCATTCTCATTCCTCTTTCCAATTTTCCTCTACCAAACTTATTTATTTAAAAAAAATTTTCTTTCTTTATTTTTTCCAAAAGTTCTTTTTGGGCTAGTTACCAATGTATATTTTTCTTTGAAGCTATGCTTTTACCTGTTTTCACATTGTTGTCATCTTGTAAGTTTGTATCTTTATGTTACTAGTCTTAACCAAGCTTTTCATAACCAGATTATTTTTTTTCCTTTGCTCATTTTTCTAGCTTATTTCTCCCCTCCCCCACTAAAGGATATTCCTTGACTTTGAATTTTATGTTAAAGTTAGGCTCCATTCATCAAAGGGTGGGAAGGAGACTGTCCCAAACTTCAGTTTTTCTTGCTTCTATTTTCACAACTAGTGCTGGGATTTTATGTTTTTGTTGCTTCCAAGGAGCAGTGATCTGGGAAGAGGAGTGGTCATTTTTCTTCTGGTCTGTGCTATGGTCCTTATGCAGGAAGGCCCCTATTCCCTCATAGCAGCAAACACTAGTACTTTTCTTTGTCCTGGAATTACAACCAGGAACTGGGTATGGACAGTAGAGTTAGCAAAAAGTGCCTGATCCTGCTCCCAGTTCTAGTACAGGGGTCCACTGTAATCTCTGATCAATTGTCCAATTCTGTTATTGTCTTTGGGCTGAGAAGTCCTGAAGCTGCTGCTATTGCTGTTGCAACAGCCTCCTAGGTATACTACTCAGGGACATCTCTGACTTTTCCATCATGCCCCCACATCAGTGTTTAGAAATAATAATTTCTTCTCTGGACTGAAATGGCTTCATCTAGTAAGTTTGTAGCAAGGTTCTTTGAAGGAGAGTTGGGTTAGCTTGAACCAGTAAAAATAAGGAAACAAACATTTATTATGCACCTACTATGTGCAAGACATTCTGTGAAGCACTTTACAAATATTATTTTATTTCATTCCTGCAATAATGCTGGCAGGAAGTTCCCGGAGGAGAACATTTTAATAGGCAGAGAGGCATGTCAAGGTGTGCCCTACAAAAGAGCTGCCATCATAGCAATTCTTATGCCATCCCTAGTGCTATGCCCATTTGCTAGCATTTCTATCTTCACAAGTGGATTAAATTCTACTTCAAATCCAACATATATTAAGCACCTTCTCATTATAAGGCACATAGGATACAAAAATTAAAAATAACAGGGTTCTTGCTCCCAAGGAATTTGTAATCTTTTAATTAGAGGGGAGAGAGAATGGGGATATCAGATATACCACGAATTACAAATATAAATAATAAAATATATTATCTACATACATGCATAGAGAATATATAATAGTATACATATGTCATATAATATTTCAAAGATTTGATAAAGGGAAATAAAAAAGTGATCATACATATTTTTATCAGAAGAGATCTTAGTAATAATTTTTAAATGTCTTTGAAGGAGTATTTCCTCATATTTTATCCAATTATTATACCAGGGAGTTTGTGTGGTGATGTGAATATTTTGCAACTGTTTGTTCTGCATCTTAAATGATATGTATATATATTAATATATACATATATATATATTTTTTTTTTTTTGGTGAGGCAATTGGGGTTAAATGACTTGCCCAAAGTCATACAGCTAGTAAGTGTCAAGTGTCTGAGGCCAGATTCGAACTCAGGTCTTTTTGATTCCAAGGCCAGAGCTTTATCTACTATACTACCTAGCGGCCTCTCATCTTAAATGATTTAAAAAACCCCTTATTGTGTAACATCCTTGCGCAAGAACAGCTTGAGGCAGTTCCCTGAAGGATAGTTCTGTGTTGCTGCGTAGGAAAGAAACGTGCCTGTTTGTCTGTGAGACCTTTGAGCCCATGAAACTCCCTAAATATGAGAGACTTAGGAGAATCACAATTTGACAGAGATGTGCTAGAAAGTGTAAACTTTTGTATGGAAAATGAGAGCACCCAAAACCTCAGACACACGGGGAATGCCTTCCCCTATCACTTCTCTTGATTCCCAATCCCTGTGTCCCAGAAATGGCTAAGAGCAGATTTCTTTACTGATAAAATATTCTCCAGAAGATTATATCTTGCTTCTAAATTGAAGAGTTAGATTATCTTTGTGATTTCTATCAGCTACTTTATTGTCTCTAACTTTCCTGACTTCTATTTACTGGTTTTTTTTTTCTTTGATAAATATATTGCCCTTTATCTGTGATTATCTTTTGTGTAACCAGTATTAGGTGGGAAGAAGCTAAACTGGCAAAGAGTAAGTTATCTTTTACCCTCTCCTTTAGAGTGACCGACGGAAGTGGCTTTTTGTTCTGAATTCCTAAAAGAGGATTGGACTTACAGACTACAAGTACTTGAAATGTAGTATATAGATAGAATTCTAGCCCAGTACCCTTCTTGGAGATAGGAAAGTGAAGGAATGGATGTTTGGCCACAGATATTCTCTTACTCCCACAAAGGCAAAAATTACAGACTCCCTTGGATATAGGGTGGAACAGATATCAAACGATATATCTATTTATCCATCTCACACATTGACCAATCTATGTATGATCAACAGTCATCTTACATATGTAATATATTTTTGTATTATGTAATATAATATATACAAATATAATCTTACATGTGTAATACATTTTCCCTTAATCTGATGTTTTGTTGTTTGTTTTTACCCTTATCTTCTGATAAGAGCTCTGAATTCTGAAGAGATCAAAGGCTAATGAAGATTTTTTTTAAATGCAAACAAAAAAAGAAAAGAAAAGAAAAGCAAGGAGGCCAGTGTCACTGGATTGAAGTCCATAATAGGGTGTAAAGTGTTAGAAGACTGGAAGTCAGTTAGAAGGCTGGGGTCGGGTTAGGAAGGATTTTAAAAACCGAAGAGAGGATTTTCTATTTGTTCTTGCAGGAGATAGGGAGTCCGTGGAGTTTATTCAGTGAGGAGGAGTTGGGGCAATAGACTGAAGAATGACTCAGCAATAAACAATAGGGGTTGAGGCAGGGTGACACCTGACATTTGTAGAGTGATTTTTTTTTAAAATTTTCTGAGCACATTCACATCTACTAGTTTATTTATCTATTAAATTACTTTGGGAGGTTGATGTGTATTACCCTAGCTTTAAATGGAGAGACACATATAATCTAGAGGTTAAGTGACTTACCCTAACTCAGAGGTGGGGAACCTGAGGCCTCGAGGCCACACGTGACCTTCTAGGAACTTGGGTGCAGCTTTTTGATGGAGTTCAAGTTTTACAGAATAAATTCTTTTCTAAAGGGGATTTTCTCTGTGAGGTTTAGATTCAGTCAAAGGGCCGCACTTGAAGACCTACAGGGTCACATGTGGCCTTGAGGCCACAGGTTCCCCACTCCTGCCCTAATTTCACTCAGTCTAGTTTCCTTTCTACATCACCACAGTAGTTTACTTCTTATTAATCTTGATTTGTAATATTTTCTTGAATCAGCCACAGTGTTTTTCAGTGTTATTTTTGTTTCCGTTTAGAATTGAGAGATAAGTTATTGGGGAAGCTACAAAAATTCTAACATTGAAGAGACAGATAAATATCAAGTTGCTACTGTATCATTAAAAATAAATTCTCATTAAATTGAATTAAGTATGGATATTTATAAAAAGTAGGTTATGGAGCGACATTTACTCACTTCTTTTATACCTGATACAGGCATTTATTTTTGTAATAGGAACTCATTTTAAATCTTGGTGATTATATGTTAAGTAAGTGGAATCACACAGTGTTATTATAAGCTGCCTTTAGGATTAGTCAATATAACCTGAAGGAAGCAGTGAACTGAAAAGATGACGTTTCCACCCACATCTGGGTTCATGCTTTGTAATTTCTGTTTGGTCCTCTCCACCTTGCCCCCAGCTACTTCAGAAACAAAATAAAACAAAATCTGAGTGGCAAATATATAGACTTTTGTGAACTCTACGTACAAATTAAATTCCTAAAAATTTTTGGCACATTATCTAAAGAGTCACTTCTAGAATATTAGGTTTCCAGTGACTGTCATTTATCAGACTGATATATTTCACTAAGCAATGCAGAATGCAGATAACAGCAGTGATCATCACACATTTGTCTGCAACATTGTTGTACAGAAGGCAAACAAACCTTTGTGCCCAAAGACAACCATTTGCTCTTTCTAAATGAGTTCTTCGACTGTCCCTGAAGGGTGAAAACTACAAAAAGAACTCTGAATGTTAAATGAGCAGTTGAGTGCCTTGAAGAATTTAATTGGAAAGTGATCCAGACCATTTGATTTTGTATGCAAGTTCACTTTTAAATGCTGAAATGAATTATAAGCACACTAATAACAGAAAGTAACCTGGACTTCTAGACTCTATGGCAAATTCAGTGGTGGTGGTGATGGTAGTGAGGGAGCTCACCAGGAGTTTGGGAAGCCCTCAGGGTCCCACCTTACCCTGTATGCAGGCATAGCTCTGCTGATTCAGGAGCTCCCTCATGAAAAGCAACTTGGTAGCACGCTGGATAAAGCATGGGACTTACAGTCACTTAGACCTGAGGAAAAATTTTGCCTAAGACACTCAATTCCCTGTGTGACCCTGGGCAAGTCTCTTAATCTTTGCATGCTTTAGTTTCCTCATCTGTAAAATAATAATAATAATAATAATAACAACAACAATAGGACCTATCTCCCAGGGTTGTTGTGAGGATAAAATGAAGTAATACTTGCAAGGTGTTATGCAAACCTAGTATAAATGCTACTTGTTTTGTGGTTGTTACTGTTTTTTTATTATCATTCCTCATTGTCATTAGTCCTCAGACCTGGCCCTGGTTCAAACCAACTCCAGTTTGGTGTAATCATGCCAAAATAAGAGAATCATCTGTCCCTTTGAGAGTCCAGCTCATACCCTATGCCATTTGCCATGACCCCTGATGCCTCTATGCCAGGGGTAGGGAACCTGTGGCTTTGAGGTCACATGTGGCCCTCTAGGTCCTCAAGTGTGGCCCTCACCTTTTGGATTCAGTCAAAGGGTCCCATTGAGGGAGGAGGGGCAACTATAAAATCAAATTATATAATAAAGGGCCAGAGGAGCATCCCTCTTACATAATAATTCCCTCTTATATAATAATCGTGAGTCACAGGAATTTGTGGAGCAGTTTGTAACATGTTCAAGCCTATGCTTTAGGAAGATCTCTTGGCATCCAAAGATTTATGTTTTTTTAAAAATCAAATTTGATAGCATGGTATGGCAGAAAGAACACCGGACAAAAGTCAGAAAAAATGAGCTCTGTTCTATCTCTGTCACTGACCAGCAGCCTGACCTCAGGACATTGAGCCTTGCTTTTCTTATCTGCAGTATGAGATGCTGGAACTGGAAAATCTATAAATTCCTTTTCAGATCTATAATTATATCTGTTTCTTAAATTATTTTTTTAAAAGACAAAACAAAAGCAACTTTTAGTGGGATATAAAAAGATATAAAAATTTCTACTGGTCTATTTAAAAATACATTTTTAAAATCAGGTCAGTTGATTATTTTACTTAAATAATGGATACAATACATGTATATATGTATTCAGGTAGATATATGCATATGTATATATGTACATACATGCATGTAAGTATAAACATATATAAATGAATACCATCAATCTAAAGCCATGAATCAAGCCTCTCTATACTTGGATAAATTCTGTCTGCCAACTTGTAGATGCACTAATATATTTTCTAAAGAACTAGTCACTACATCCTTAATCACACAATGCCAGAGCTAGAAGGGCCCTTAGAAATATTTATTCTAAACCCCTTATTTTACATATGAGCGTACTTAGACCCTGAGAAATTAAGTGACTCACCTAGGGTAATACACCTATTAAGTCACAGAAATGAAAGCCTTTTGTCTCCAAATTTAGTACTCTTTCCATTATATTATGTAACGTCCAAACATAGAGATAAATTTTATTTTGGGGAGTAATACTAACATTTAAAATTTTCTTAAGCTTTATTTATTTTCATAGTGATTGATACTCCATTAAAAAATTAAGGCACAGAAAAAGTGTGAGACACTGCTAGAAATAATCATTTAAAACAAAGTATCATCAACAAATATTTATTGATAAATTATCTATAAGGAACAGTCTAGAATATTTATAGATACCTTTTGACTTTCCTCTAGGAGGAATCAGTGATGTAGGGAAATGGACTTGGAGTATGAATACTTGCATTTTAAGCCAAAGTCTGGTACATACTATTTGTGTGCCCATGGGCAAGTCATTCATTACGGGCCTCTGTTTCTTCATCAGTAAAGCCAAGGGTTTTGGAATCTGGTTTCTATGGTTCCTTCCAAATCTAAATCTCAACCTATCTAGGACATTTATTTATTTTTTTTAATGAAATGATGACTTGAATATACAGTGGTTTGTAACCTTGTACTAAGTAGAGAAAGCAAATTTTCCTAATAACTCTCATGTGAGAAAACTTACCTTATCTCCTTCTTCCACATCACAAATTTTTTCTTCAGTAGCAGGGTTAATGACTGGGAATTTCTTGCCACTCACTGAATCATGCCATTCATTGTTTATGAATATCTATTGGGAAATACAAAAGGAAATCAAGGTTATATACCCAGTGCATTAGCCTTAGAAATTTTCTCATAGTGATTAAGCATGAAACACTCAAAACGTCTTATTCACATGTCTCCAATGGTATCACTTTCCTATCCTTCTAACTCAAAGATGCTACAATTCTACAATTCTCATTTCCCCTTTTATTTTGGGTGCATAAAACTGTGAACCATAGTATATTTTTTGAAAATGTCATTAAGGAATGTAGGCAAGCCTTACAATGGTGAAAATGAAGTTCCTAAAAATAATGACTTCACTCAGTTCTCACAAATTGTTGCAAGAGTAGGTTTGGGAAGACTAAGGTCAAGTGGATAATTGCATAGTCTTTCATTTATCAAACTGGATTTGAGAGTATATACCAAGGTCTCTCAGTGACACCAGCAACTTTCCAATGGCTGATCAAGAAGTAGTTGGAAACACGAAGTACCTGGAAATATTGATGTGCCTTGGTGACATCTTTGATTTCTACCACTGACAGAACATGAGGATAGACTGATTAAAGTGTTGCATCATTTGGAGCTGTCAAGAAACAAGGACCAGCTATTCCATTCTCACTAGTATTTTGTTTCTGTCTACCACCTCCCCAATCTGCCCTCCTTTTTGTTAGTCCCCATTCCCTTTACTTAATCTCCTCCCCTCCTACTTCCCTGTCAGGTAAGAGAGATTTCTACTTTCAACTGACTGTGTACATTATTCCCTCTTTGAACCAATACTGATGAGAGTAAGGCTCAAGTAATGCTCATCATCACCCTCCTATCTTTCTCTCCACTGTAATAGGTCTTTCATACCCCTTCATGTGAAATAATTTACTCCATTCTACCTCTCCCTTCCTTCTACACCCAATGTACTACTCTTTCTCATACCTTAATTATTTTTAATATCATTCCTTCCAATTCACTTTATACCAATACCTTCTGTCTGTGTATGTTCCTTTTAGCTGTGCTATTAGTGGTACAGTTTTTAAGAATTACAAGTATTTTCTTCCCATGTAGGGATGTAAATCATTCAGCTCCATTGAATCCCTCATGTTTTCTTTTCCTTTTTTACCATCTCTTGGGTCTTGATATTGGAGATCAGATTTTTGGTTCAATTCTGGTCTTCTCCTTATGAAAGCTTGAAATCCTTCTATTTCATTGAATGACCATTTTTTCCCCCTTGAAGTATTATGCTTAATTTTGCTGGGTAAGTGATTCTTGTTTGTAGTCCTAGCTCCTTTGTCTTCTGGAATGTCATGTTCCATGAACTCTGATTTTTTAATGTTGCAGCTGCTAAGTCCTGTGTAATCCTGACTGCAGCTCCCCGATATTTGAATTGTTTCTTTCTGGTCACTTGCAGTATTTTTTTTCTTGATCCAATACTTCTAAATTTTGGCTATAATGTTCCTTGGAGTTTTTACCTTGGGATCTCTTTCCTGAGTTGATTAGTGGATTCTTTCAGTGCTTATTTTGCCCTCTGGTTCTAGGATATCAGGGCAGTTTTCCTTGACAATTTCTTGAAAGAAGCTCTCCAGGTCCTCCTTTTGATTATGGCTTTCAGGCAGTTCAAAGATTCTGACATTGTCTCTCCTGGATCTATTTTCCAGGCCAGTTGTTTTTTCCACTAGGTATTTTACATTTTTTTTCATTTTTTCATTCTTTTGAATTTGTTTGATTCTTTTGAATTTGTTTGATTCTCATAGAATCGCTAGCTTCCTCTTGCCCAATTCTAACTTTTAAATTGTTTTCCTCACCTTTTATAACTCCTTTTCTATTTGGTCAATTCTACTTTTTAAGCAGTTGTTTTCTTCTTCCAAGTTGCTGATTCTTTTTTCACAATTCTCTTGCATCACCCTCATTTATTTTCCCAATTTTTCTTCTAACTCTCTTATATGATTTTAAAGCTCCTTTTTGAGCTCTTCCATGAGTTCTTTCTGGGCTTGAGACCACTACTATTTTTCTTGGGGTTTTGTCCATTGGTGGTTTGACAATGTCCTCTTCTGAGTTTGTGTCTTGATCTTCCCTGTCACCACAATAATTTTCTGTGGTCAGGTTTTTTTTTTTTTGGTAGTTTTTTGCTCATCTTTTTTGGCCTTTTTCCTTTCTTTTAAATTTGAGCTCTGTTTCCAGGGTGGAAGAGGCACTGTTTCAGGTTTCTTGTGCCAGGGACCACCAGCCCTAGCTATTTGCCTGGTGTTGCACTGATGTTATCCTGAGGCCCATAAGACCCTCATGTCTGGTGCTGGTCTGAGGGGCTGTGTGGGGGTGGTAGCTGGTACTGCTAGACCCATAGGGGTCTGCCAGCTTGCCTGGTGCTGAACCAGGGTCCTAGTGCTGGTGTCTGACATGTGCTGAGGCTGATGGGGTGTTTCTGCATTTTCCTGGGGATACACTGAAGCACATGGAGGTCTGGCAGCTGAAGGCTGCCTGTTTGCCCATAGCGTTGGTGTCTACTTGTTTGCTCAGGTCTATGTTGAAGTACATGGTGGTTCTCAGAGCTGGAGTCTGCCCATTCCCCTGGCTATCTTAAGGAATGTGGGGAGTCCTGGTGTTGACATTTGCCTGATCCATCACATTGGTGCTCAGGATGTCCCACTGGTTTGCTGAGGTGGGGCTTGCTGCTGGTTTGTTGGGATGCTTCCTGTCCTGGACTTACTGAATGAGGCAGAGCTTTCCTGTTGATCTTCCAAGTTTTTTGGGCTCAAAGATTGTTTCACTCTATCTTTTTGCTAGTTCTGCTGCTCTAGGATTTCTTTTGGGGGTTATTTTATGGTTCTTTGGAGATGAATATAGAAGAGTTACAGAGATTTACTACTTACTCCACCATGTTGCCTCCCAGAAGTCTTAATCTATGATTTTAATGGAGCAGAGTTCTGTTTCCCTGGTTTTGTCCTGATGGAGGTGTTCCTATATCAGTCCATCATGTTATCTATTCACTTGTTTTTTTGATTCTGTTTCGTACATTTCCCATGACTGTTTTGAAATTCATTCCCTCTCTCTCCTGATGTTGTATGGTTTTTTGCCTCGGGCTCTGCATGTGTAGTTTGGTTCCCTTGCTTTACTTTTATGGTCTGATCTAGAGAAGGTATTTCTGGGCCACATGGAAACCAGACTGGTGTAAATTTTGTACCAAGAACCTCTTCTATATGTAGACTTAAAGGTGGGAAAATGGACTCTGATAGCTAATTACTATCTGATTATTATTAATTAAATTAATTATAATTATTATCTGATTACTGCTAATGAGATTGCATGGAGTCTCCTTTTCCTGGTCAAACCCCAACCCAGGCTGGAATTGATTTAATCTCAGGCTTCAGTGGAGACAGAGTCTTCCAAGATAGCCTAAGGCTGGGAGTGATCTGGTATGGTTGGGGGGTGGTCTGATATAAGTATTATTTAAGTAATGGAACTGAAAAAACAGGGCGAGACTCTCCCAGGAGTTAGTTGGGAGGTAGAATCAGCTAGCAGCAGTTTTATACTGGTAAGATCCAAACCAAGCAGTCCAAAGATAGCAAGAGAACTGTCTTGCACCCCTCCCCCCAATCTATCTGACACCAGGGCAATATGTTTAAAACTGCCAAAATAAGGGTTTTTCTCTTTTAAGACACTTTGATCAGGTCTTTTATAACATAGCCTTAAATGCAATAGCTTTAAGATTTCAGAAATTTGTTTAAAATATGTATTAACATTATAAAACCTGCTTGTGAATGGATGAAAGAAATACGGCTCTCTTGTAAATTATTTTGTTAACTCCCTCCAGAAAAGTGAAGAGAAGCAGGCCAAAAAGGAGTGTGAGTATGAGTTTTAATTTGGAAAATGGTATTAGTTAGGCAGTCAAGCTTTGTAATCTGTTAAAGAGGTTTAGGAGTAGCTAGAACCAGGAACATAAGCCACTGCATGTCTAATAATAATGGTATGTGAAACCAATAGACAAAGTTATAGATGGTTAGGAGAAATTATGTCCACTCATTTTTTAGGATAAATCTGTAGGAAGGCCTTATTAAATCTAACACTACATAAATATTGGTTCTGGTAAAGATACTGGTTATTGTGATTCTCAATTATTATGTAAGATCACCCTGAGCAAACTAAAATTCAGAGGGGTTAAATGTCTCACCTAAAGTCTTATAGTTTGTCAGAAAAACCTGAATCAGCAGCTTAGTATAGTGGAAATCATATGTTGAGTCAAAGTATTTGGGTTTATATCCTGTTTCCGACACTTTTTGTCCACGTGACCTTAGATAAATCCCTTACCCATCTCTAAGGACTCATTTCTTCATTTGTAAAATGAAGGGATTGGATCAGATAACTTCTAAAACTCCTTCCAGCTTTAAAACATACACACACACACACACACATACACATGCACACACACACACACACACACACACACACATATATATACATTCAGATGACCTATGATATTAGGACTATTGATTTTGCCACTATCATTCATTACCCCTCATGGAGTGCAAGTCTACAACAAAAACTCAAAGAAGGAAACAACAGTGACACTCAGAGAAAATAGGGTGGAAAAAAGGGAGAAAACAAGGAATACAAAATGAGAAAGAAAAAGAACAATCACTAAACATAAAAGAAAGAAAACAAGGCAGAGGAAAAAATGACAGAGCAAAAATTAAGGGAACAAAAACAACACTTTCATTTCTGTTTTATATGATAGTCAAATCTGAGGAACAGATTTCAAGAATGAGTTTTTGAAAAAACTAAATATTAACATTGGCAATCCTTTATGTTTTCTTTTTTCTTTTTCCTCTTTTAAAACTCAGTAGGGAAAAGGAGAGGTAAAAAAAAAGGAGGTAAATTGAATAAATTCTCTCTTTGAGAGCCATATCCATCCATCCTGGCCTTATAAAACAACAACAACAACAACAAAACTAACAAAAAACTTGGTAAATATATCCCAAATGCTTTAAAGTCTTAATTTCTTCCTAAGTTTTATTATGTGGAGTTTATGGGGCATTTAGTATGTTTCCATTGAGCAAGACATCTTTCTTTCTTTCCTTCCTTCTTTCCTTTCTTTCTTTCTCTTTCTTTCCCTCCCCTCTGTCCAAATAAGGTATCACACCATTACCTGGCAGCCTTTTGACTGAGTCCAAGTTTTACAAGGGATTTGTTTTGTGAATTTTGGATTCAGTGAAAGGGCCGCACTTGAGGACCTAGAGGACCACGTGTGGCTTCCAGGCCACAGGTTCCCCACCCCTACAATTCTCCAAGCCTGCAAAGTCTCCTTTGCCAGTTTCTCTGTTATTAAAAATGGTATGTTCTCAAAGCAAAATGAGCATTTATAAATATAATAAACATTCTCATCTTCGACTTTCCAGTTCAGCTAAAGTAAAAATTTTAAATTATATAACAAACAAACCTCCACAAGTTTAGAAAGTTGAGGTGGGAAGCAAAAAAAAAAAAATTTCTCCTTAGGTCCTGAAATTTGATTTGCAGTTTTTACATAATAGTGTGGAATAAGCATACATCACAGTTAAGAGAATAAAGCTGGAGTCATATCTTATTTTCACTTTAGCAACAATTTCTTAAGTGGAAATAATGGAGGCCTGCTTTGGCTCTATGTTACTTATGATGTTGTCTAGTTAGCTATTGGCCATCTGTTGTAATAGCAATAAGTTTATCTAGTGAGATAAACAAAAGTATTCATAATGCACATGGCTTTATGCTGGGTTTCTTCTAGCTTTTTCCCTCAAGGTTGCTCACTGAAATAGTTATCCTTAAATATTCCCTGCTCTCCCACATCCATACATACAAGCTAACAGCAATTAACTATGCCCTTTAAGTGACTTGCACGAGCTTCTATAAGAAGACTTGCTAACAGAACAGTTTGAGCATCAGAATCCAAGCAAAGTAATATTAGATTATTTTCCCCTTTTAATATCTTGTATTTGGTAAGATTCTTTACCCAAATCCCCATTATGCATAGCTCCTATTTATTTATATAAGATACTTTAAATAAGGCTAATTTAACCTTCCCACTAATAAATAAGTTTATTTTTTTTTCTACTTCCCTAAGGTAACAGACATGCAGTTTGAATCTACTAACCTTAGTATATTGAATTTTCAAGTTGGTGAGTGGGGCAGGTACATTCATCTCTGCTGGATTCTCCGAGGTTTGTTTCTGGGCTGGTTTCTGGGCTAGAGACACAAGGGAAGTCAAGTAGCTGACAGGCTCTGCAATTTTATCCTGAACCCTTGGTTTTATTTGCTCGTTTTCCTCTGAACTGACCTAGGATTATTTGCATACTGGAATGTGATTGGATGAACCAACTCAGAGTCAAAAGAAAATGACACTAGTTCTTTTATAACCCGTGGATAAGAAGGCCTTGACTTTAAATTTATGTCCTTAAGAAACCATTTTACCAAACCTATAGCAGATCTGGGAGATAGTTTATTATTTATAGAAAATTCACAATTTTGCGACATTGAAACTTGTGACAAAAATAAGCAGCTTTGACTGCTGAGACTGAGATCTTTCTCCCCCTCCTTCCTCCTCCCTTTTCTTTTTATGCTACTGTGGAACACATTTCTCTGACATGTCAGCAAATAGGAACAAGGCAGAAATCTTTGCCTGCTTTTATTTATAGAAGACAGGATAGGGAACAAATCTGTGGCTTTTTTTTTTTAACCAATTAAAGGATCACTTAATAGTGTGCTATTAATGTTATCTCATCTGAATCTCATAATAACTCCGAGATAAATGCTATTGCTATCCTTATTTTTAAGATGAGGAAATGGAGGCTTGGAGATTTGTCCAGGGTCATAGATTCAAGCAAGATTCAAACCCAGGGCTTCCTGATTGCTAGTGTAGCAATCTGTCCACTGTGGGGCACTCATTGTCTCTGCTCAGCTAGTTCTTTCGCTTGAGGTTCAGAAATATTGGTCGGCATATCACTCTTTATTACTTAGTCATTGTGACTAAGCATTTTTGAGAAGCAAATTTGCTGTGACTTTAAATGACAGGAGTGTAAAGTTTAAACTTTAATAGCTCAAATTAAACTAAGACTTTTGGGATACCTCTTATATGGCCATAATTAGTGGAAGGGTGCAGGTCTTGAAATCAGGAAGGGTAGGTTTCTGCCATTTATTAACATTAACAACTTGGATACCAGTTGGACAAGTCACTTTTCCTTGCCTGTTTCCTTATCTGGAATAGTTTCCTTATCTGGAATATATACATGGTAATGCTTGTATTACTTTGCCAGATGGCTGGGAAGGAAACATTTTTGAGGACGATGTGAGATTCCTTTTCTCCCATTCTTAAAACTCCTTAATATCATCTCCCATACTTTCCTCCTTTCCACCAGTCTCTGACAAAGAGATAACCCATCTTCTTGCCAAGGCCAAACTCTCTACATGTGCACTGATCCCATCCTTTCCTTTTTTTCTTCAACAGATTGTATCCTCAATCATCCCCCCTCACTCTCAAATCCTCAGTCTCTTCCTACCAACTAGTTTCTTCCCTGTTCCTTCTAAACATGCCCAAGTCTTCCCTACGCTTAAAAAAAAGCCTTTACTGGACTCTTTTTACCATCATCTCAAGCTATTTATTGCTCTGTCTCCCACCTTTTCTCAGCCAAACTATTTGAAAAAGTCGTCTACATCAGCTGCCTCCTTTGTCCTCACCACTTACCGCTCAATCCTTTGCATTTCAACTTCCTGTCTCATCACTTAAATGAAACTGCCCTCTCTAATATTGCCAGGAATATCTTGATTGCCAAATCTGATGGTCTTTTCTAAATTTTAATCCTTCTTGATCTATCTGTAGCAGTTGATACTGCTGACTGCCCTTCTTTTCTTTTTCTTGTATAACCTTTCCTTTCTGGGTTTTTTCTTTTTTTTCTTTCTTTTTTTTTTTTGTGGCACTGCCATCTCCTGGTTTATCTCCTACACACCTGACCACTTCTCAGTCACCTTTCTGACTCATCATCCACATCTAACTGACCTCTAATTGTGGGTGTTCCTCAAGATTCTGATCTGGGCCTTATCTTTTCCCTCTATACTTTCTCCTAACATCTCCTAACAGTTTTAATGTAATTTCTATTTAATATAATTTCTCAGAATTATAAAGCCAGTCTCAATTTCTCCCTTGAACTTCAGTCTTCCATCACCATTTGACTATTGGACATTTCTTACATTCTTTTAAAGACCTACACAGCCTGGCGCCAACCTATCTTTCCAGGCTTATTATACATCACTCCCTCTTCTTCATTGTATGATCTAGCAAAAATAGTCTTTTCTGTTTCTTACTCTTAAGATATTCTCTCCCATCTCAGTGCCTTTGCATTGGCTGTCTCCCAGGCCTGGAGTTCATTTCATTCTTACCTATATCTTTCTCTCTCTCTCTCTCTCTTTTTTTTTTTTTTTGGCTAGGCAATGGAGTTACGTGACTTGCCTAGAGTCACACAGCTAGCAAGTGTTATGTGTCTGAGGCCAGATTTGAACTCAGGTCTTCCTGAATCTAGGGCTGGTGCTCTATACACTACACCATCTAGCTGCCCCTATCTTTCTCTTAAAGATGTACCTGAGGTATCATCTTCTATATGAAACCTTTTCAGATGTCCCCAAACAGTCATGCCCTTATTCCCAAACTGTTATATTTAACAGCTCTGTCTATATTTATAATATAGCTAATTATATAATAAATAAATAAATAAATGTAATAGTTAATAGAAAGTTATAATAATATAATAAAGTTAATAAAAACTTTATCTTTGTGTTTCATATTTTTTTTTTAAAGTACTTGTCTCCTCTAGGCTTATTTTAAGTTGAGATTGTTTCAACCTTTTTATTTCCATCCCTAATGCCTATCACCGTGGGTGGCACTTTGTTGTTCACTCATTTCAGTCATGTCCTACTCTCATGATTCCATTTGGGGTTTTCTTGGCAAAGACACTGGAGTGGTTTGCCATTTCCTTCTCCAGCTAATTTTACAGATAAGGAAACTGAGGTAAACAGGCTTAAGTGACTTGCCCAGGGTCATGTAGCTATTGAATATCTGAGGTTGGATTTGAACTCAGGTCTTCCTAACTACAGGCCTGTTGTTCTATCCATCTAACTGAGCTACCAACAGCTGGCACTTGGTAGAAAATTAATAAGTATTTGTTGGTTGATTTTTAGATTTACCAGTAGGAGAAAGCTCAATAGTAGATATGAAACTCAGTCTGCCCCCTACTAAGCCTTGATTCCCGCTCCGTAATATTCAGTTCTTTTTTCATGAGAACCAAATTAGATATTATACTCATCCTATTTTTGTTTTAGAAAATCATCTTCACAACAGCTCACAAACAGGTTTCTTTTTTTTTTTTAATTAAGTCTACAATCACATAACAATAGATTTTACTTAATTTCACTGGATCCATGTCTGGCAGCTATATTTTCTTGTGGTAACTTGCTTTCATACAACTTGATGAAAAAAGATTTGAAGTTGTGGGCTTTAAGTTAGATGCACTCTAGCACACTTGTCTCATAGCTTCCTTCCTTAAACTATAATCTTCAGGACTTCTGGGAGCAAGATGGTGGAGTAAGCAACAAATTGCTGTAATGCTCCCATATTCATCTCCAAATCATAAAAATCACCCCCCAAAAGAAATCCTGGAACAGCACAACCAGCAAAAAGATAGGGTGAAATAATCTTTGAGCCCAAGAAACTTGGATGATCACCAGGAAAGTTCTGCTTCATTCAGTAAAAGAGGAGCACAGTCCAGTACAGAAAGTACCCCAGTAAGCCAGCAGCAAGCCCCACCTCAGCAAACAAGTGGGAGATCCTGAACCCTAGTGAGATGGCACAGGCAAATATCAAAGTTCCTCAGGATAGCCAGGAGAATGGGCTGACTCCAGCTCTGAGAATCACCATGTACTTCAGACCTGGGCAAACAGGTAGACACCAGTGCTATGGCTGCTTAAGCAAACAGGCAAACTCCAACTACCAGACCTCCATGTGCTTCAGTGTATCCCCAGGAAAATGCAGAAACACTTCATCGGCCTCAGCACATGCCAGACACCAGCACTAGGACCCTGGTTCAGCACCAGGCAAGCTGGCAGACCCCTCCGGCCTCCAGCAGCACCAGCCACCCTCCCCAACACACCCCCTCAGCACCGGACATGAGGGTCTCTCATGGGCCTCAGGGTAACATCAGTACAACACCAGGTAAACAGCTAGGGCCTGCAATCCCTGGCAAAAGAAGCCTGAAACAGTGCCTCTTCCACCCTGGAAGCAGAGGTCAAATTTAAAAGAAAGGAAAAAGGCCAAAAAAGATGAGCAAAAATCTACCAAAAAAGAATCTAACCATAGAAAGTTATTATGGTGACAGGGAAGATCAAGACACAAACTCAGAAAAGAACAACAATGTCAAAGTGCCTGTGGGTAAAACCTCAAAGAAATATAGGAAGTGGTCTCAAGCCCAGAAAGAACTCATGGAAGAGCTCAAAAAAGAGCTTAAAAATCATATAAGAGTGGTAGAAGAACAACTGGGAAAAGAAATGAGAGTGATGCAAGAGAATTATGAAAAAAAGGGTCAACAGCTTGGAAAACTGCTTTAAAAGTAGAATTGGCCAGAGAGAAAAGGAAATATAAAAGTTGAGAAAAACAACTCCTTAAAAGTTAGAATTGGGCAAATGGAAGCTAATGATTTTATGAGACATCAAGAATCAATCAAACAAATTCAAAAGAATGAAATAATGGAAGAAAATGTAAAATACCTCATGGGAAAAACAACTGACCTGGAAAATAGATCCAGGAGAAACAGTGTCAGAATCATTGAACTTCCTGAAGTCATAATCAAAAGGAGGACCTGGAGAGCTTCTTTCAAGAAATTGTCAAGGAAAACTGCCCTGAAGTCCTAGAACCAGAGGGTAAAATAGGCACTGAAAGAATTTACTAATCAACTCAGGAAAGAGATCCCAAGATAAAAACTCCAAGGAACATCATAGCCAAAATCTAGAACTATCAGATCAAGGGAAAAAGCACTGCAAGTGGCCAGAAAGAAATAGTTCAAATATCAGGGAGCCACAATCAGGATTACGCAGGATTTAGCAGCTGCAACATTAAAGGATCAAAGGTCATGAAACATGACATTCTATTAGGCAAAGGATCTAGGACTACAAGCAAGAATGGCCTGCCTGATGAAATTAAATATAATACATTAAGGGAAAAAATGGTCATTTATTGAAATAGAAGGATTTCA